TTGCTGGAATTTGCATGTAAGTTTGTTGAAGTCGCATATGAACTTTCTATAAGCTGATTTTCACTACAGGAACAAAAAATCTGTCCAAAATTCATCTGCTTATATTCGGTAATATACGACAGGTTGCGAAATAGTGATTGGTCTGTGATCCGCGCTCAACCGAGTGCGGTGCATTCCATTTAGAATTCTGGCGAGTTCTCCAAGAAAAAGACTTGGGTAATTGAACTTTAGGGTTTCGAGATTAACCATAGAATTTTCATTCTATTGTCAGAGAAGCATACATTCCAATACAGCATGGAGTTACGTCCTAAGAGAGAATTCCTATTAGTCTTAAAAATGTAAATCTCAACCCCACATTTTCTACTATTTTGTAGGTACACTGAGAAGGTAACAAATCTGAGTATCCTAACATCACCATCGCAATTGCTAATGAATTTGTAAGTGGAAGGGTACACGAACAAAAGAGAAAAACACTGCTTCTAAAATACATGGCACAGCCACAATTTGTGACGCAGATTCAGGCTCCATATATAGGAGAATGGTTTGTCGTCACTTCTGATGACGCAGCGAATATAGAATGGGGATAGTTTTATTTCATGAGCAAGCAATATAATCGAGTGCTCGCTTTTGCTAACAGCACAGATAGAAATTTCGCCGGTGGCTAAAGAAGCCGAAGAGTCAGTTGTGGAAAGAGCCACGCGCAAATTAATACGAGAGCGACCAGCTCAGGCAAGATCACCAGAGTTACCACAGTTCCGACAAATTACCTACTTTGCGAGCATGATCTATTCGTTTCCTGGGGTTCAGAATTTCCGCAACGGCAACTGTGGTTTCTAACTGACCAACGCAACGGAGAAACTCATGAATCTACTCAATCAATTTCCTCGGCCGCTGCGTTGGGAAGAAACCATTTAGTCCTTTCGTGAATGTAAGCTTCGCGCGAGCCATGTCGCAAGTTCTTTCTCAAGAAAGCTCATCTGCATCGTCTATTAATAGACTCACTATTATACGAGAATCCGACAATCTAGAGATCACTTGTCGTATCAGTACTGTTTCTTTAAATCTCCTTGAGTCATTTTCATAGGCACATTTTCGACCAGAACATACGAAGCGAGAGATGAGAGTATCCAAGTTTTCACCAGACCACTGGGTTAAGTGCATGAACTTGTAGCAGGACGTGTATGTATTCCCGCGAACTCCTCAAATTTTTATCCAGCATTGCTAAGGCGTCCCACACGGTACCCTTTTCGCGAAGAATGAGAGCGTCGAAGATCAGGTGGTCCTCTGATCTTAGGTGCAGTTACAATGTATAAAAGAATCCAGTATTACCAACGTTAAAGATGGATTGTGAACTACTAGGACAGAAACATAGATCAAAAAATTGATTTTCCAATTTTCCCAACATTCTACATTTTGGGCAATTTTGGAATGGGTCCAGTAGCGAGCATAGGCAGCAGTGTGCAGCGACTTTCTAGCCGTTGACGTTAATTAGTTGCGTCCGAAGAAGCAGAGAATTGGATTCCTGACTGGACGATTGTATGGACACATTAAGATCAATGAACAACGGTTTCAGTGTATGGCGAAGTACGTGCGAACGTACGGTTGAGTAAGCCAATCCGAATTCCAGACACGCTTAGTCCAATGAATGCTAACTGTTGCGAAGTATGATAACCAACCAGTGGCACGGGTACATGAACCTGGACACGACAGTCTTCTCTTCTGCCTCTTCCGTAAATCTAAACGTTACTTAGTCAAGTTATTGCACACAACACAGCCTTGAAATGGGGACGCGAATCGTAACAAGAGTTGATATTTGAGTCATTTTGAAGTACACGTTGTGTCGATGGATTGCGACATGCAATCTCAATGTTGACCACGATTCCCATTAAAGTGAACCTTAGTCTTTCGATCAGGAAGCTCGTAGCTAAAGCAGCTAGAAAGTGGGTTTTGCCCTCCTGAAAACACTGCACTGCTATGACACGTTTTGCTCTTATGTCGTATTATCATATAGGGATAGCAGGAGTCTAACCCGGACCGTCATCAATCATCATTATCCACGTTAGCTAAAGGTAGAAAGCACTTCGGATACTGTGCCGCAATACATGAGAGAAAAAAGGGGGGAAAGTTGTAACAGATGCAATCCAACTGAGCTGCCCGTAACGGATAGGCATCGTTTCAGTACGCTACCGGCTAATATGCAACAAAAAATGTTTACTATGCAAAATTATATAAGGCTAAGTAGTGAGGCCGTGGTTGGTGACGGAGGCTAAGAAGGATGGAGTGGGACTAAGAAACTCCCACCACACGTGCCATTGAGGTAGGCTTCTAGCCGTGTCAGCAAGGCTATCCAGTCAAACGTGTTCATTGTCTTTCGGACCCCAACCAGGGAGCTGAGATCCCCCAACCGAGGCCGGCTTCGAAGTAAGTGCCTTCATTCCTCTTGACAAAGTTATCGCTTGGCCACCCCTTCTCTACTTCCATCCACAACCCCGGCGCGCAAAAAACGCATGTCGCGGGAGTCGGTGGGCTGGCATGTGTAACACGTGGCCGCGCCATCGGAGTCTGGTGCGTGAAATAATGGCGCTGAGCGGTTTATTTCTTTTTCCTGTGTCCTATATAAGGCTTCGAACACGATCGTTGTTCATTAGGTGTTCCCAACAGATGTGAGCCAAATTGCGAAGGCACCGGGAACCCGGGACCAGTGGGACGTTAGTTGTGACCGCTACCCCTAAACCACCAATTTTGGCGGTTAGTTGCGCAGTAACTCCTATGGGTTTGAAACGATTATACTATTATTTTGGGACTAAAATCATTTTGACGGCGAAATTGTTACTCGTAATACTAGTGAGCTGAACCGAAGAACAACAAATTCCCGCTTTGCCTGCAGCGAACGCTATACTAAATGCTGAATTTTACCCTTTCATGTACGTCGCATAGTAACATAATGTACAATAAACTTCACAATAGGTACCCAGCACCGTAAAAACGATGGGATGCAATCAAGGCTATCTAATTTGTACGCACGTCTTAGATAGAGACATGAATCTTGTGGTATTCTGGGGATGATTGTACAATCTGATACGTGAATGGAACTTTAAGGTTGCATTTAATATATGTAAGCTTTAAGTTGGCCTTGCAAAACACGATTATATTTTTCGAATATGGTTCACAATGAGGCGAATTTTCGTCAATTTGTTTAATACAAGTGTATTCAACATGTGGTGTTTCGGCTAAAGCACACATGTAATTTCGAATTTCGTGATCAGTTTGTTTTTGTCTGCATAAGTTCGTGTAAATAGATTCGAATTGGACAATATCTTGTGTAATGCTTGACGTCACGTAAGGTTTCTATTAACACGGCGATTAAAACGGAGCAGTATTCAATCACCATCATACAACCTATGAAATAAGGAAAATTTTTGGCAGTGGAATGTAGCTCTAAGAGCACCAGATTCTCTAAATTTGTCGTAAAAGCTATGTACGAATTGGGCACATATTGCCCACCGATATACGCGCGGGAATTTCAAAAATTAATCAGCAAACAATTAACCGTGCAGAATGTGATTAACTTATTGTGATATCACAAGGAAAATAGCCTAGCATATGAAACAAGGTCCAGGAATTATAGGTTCCCGAAACCATTCTAAAGCAGTGAGCAATAATTGCAATGGTAAGGCCCCATACACTCCCTGTCTTTCTCTTCTTTCTTCCCTCTATTTGACTATGCGAACGACAAGGTTGTCACCAATAAGTGTGTTATGAATTAGGAAGTCAATCAACCTCACACCCACATTCTCCGTTTTCGTTATCGAGGATCATACTATTATTTTTGCAGTGTACTCTCACATTTAGAACCTATGGGTTTCCCCCTTGATCCATGTTCATGTGACTACTGCTACTAGCAGTCGACGTTACTAAATAGTCTTGCAATAATGAGGCATCACAATGTGTTTAAAGATGAATACCTAACTTTTGCACTGCCATATTCAAATCCACATTAGGCCTACCAATTCTGACATAGACATCAGGTGCAACATCAGGTAACACGCCGAACAACAGACAACATTCATACCCAATCAAAAGTGTTGTATGTTTACCGCTCATTCGTGGTCGTTGAACCAAAACTGTCATTATTTTCCTGAAAATGCCTTCGCAGGCGTATCGCGTCAACAACGAGAACAGACAATATATTTGTTATTAACTGTATGCTATAAAAATAAAAACTAATGCTCAGAGCGAGTACAAAAGCGAGGTGATAGTGAATAGCGGTCTTAAGGATTAGTAACACAAAAAATCGATTTCATTTACCGCTTTCTAACATCGTATCCAGTTCAATTTCAAGTGCGGTTGGGAACGGAACGATACCATAATCCCGTGAATGTTCCTTCTTTTGCATAAGATTGAACTAAGAACTAACAGGTCAGCTTGAGATGTTGTAAAGCCTAAAACAACGACCGCATCAAACCCTGTCCAACTAATTACTGACCACATTTCTTGCCCAACAGTCCCTGCTAGGACGACTAATGTGAAGTGTAAGCTACGATAACAAGAAGGCATCTCCGCTAAATAAGGATAACACAAATGTACAAGAGTAATAGGAAAAAACAAACTAATTAGCTTAAAAACCTATTCGCACTCAGACAGAATCTGAAGTTGGCAAATATTAGGTCTTGCTGCTCCAAACCCCGCAGTTACAAACAAAGCATACCCATTCAGAAAGTTGACAAATTGACTTATTTGGAGAACAACCGTTTCAAACACAGCGTAAGATTTTCATGGACGGCAATGAGGGTCATTAATAATGAAGACGACCCTACCTTTACCAGTTAGAGTAAATATTAGGCTTGATATGTTTGTTTGGAGGAAATGTATCGTAAAATAATTTAGTTTGCCAAATTTGATTTAAGTCGCAGCAGTTGATATGCGGATAGCTCATTCCTTTTTAATGATAATTATTGAGGGCGATGAAGTTAACTGCGTCTCAATAAAGTGAGGCTGAATCATGTCAAAATTGCGATAAGCTTGCCATTGTCATAACCATCGGCTTGGTAAGCACTCGAGCCGCAGCCATTCAGCGAAATGTCATCGAGCCCTGACACAGAAACGTCTCTTGTTCTCTCATGTGCCTGGGCAAAGGAAGTAAAATCAAAGTGTTACTTTGACATATCGTTGTTTATGAAGGCCCGGCAGCTGAAATTTGTAGAAACCTAACAAATACTTCATGCCTTTCGCTATAAGACGCAAATCTATGGAAACACATCCCAGTGGTATTGAAATCAAGCCTCTTTAGGAGGCAATGAAAAACCCAATTAAGGAAATGCTACACCAAACGTTTCTTTGTTGTTTGTAATATTGGTTGGCTCCAGCCCCTTTAGATCAGTTTTTAATTGTGGACTTGTAGATTAGTATTTACTTTAAGATAAACTGCAAGCTATCATATGGGTAAGCACCTGACGTTTCCTTTTGCTTGGAAAGCAGCAGTTACGGTTTTTACTGTTTATATAACATGAAACACCAGAGCAAATGTTTAAAAAAAAATAAATAACATTTAAACAAACATGGTCCTACCAGCTCAACTTGTTTCTTCCAATCCACGCAGTTGCTAGCGATACAATAAGCCACCGCTTGCGATACAGCTCCTACAGCAAAACCGATCCAAATACCTAGTAATAAAGAGAGTAAGCGAACAAGATTCAAACTTTCTGCATTGAGATAGTCTTGGATTATTGTGGGTAGAGGTCAACAAGCGCGTTTGACAAAGGTAACTTATCCACTTATTTCTGTGTACGCATTGCTAACACATATTACACTGAGGCTAACATAACTCTGTGCCCACAGCCAACAATATTATTGCTATTAAGCAATATAGCTACTGATTTGCTGTGCAACGTTTGGTTACGCAGTTGATGTCGAATGAAGCTTTAAGTATTATGACTACCAGTTGTTGTAGCAGTATTTCTATGTATTGATGCTTTTAGGAAAAGAACAAACAAACTTACCTTCCAATTGGTACCCCAACACAAACACAAGGACCAACTCGATAGGCGCTGCCAAAAGATACAGGCAACAAATGCATATGGCTGCACTGACCAGCTGCAAACCCGCTCCACGTATAGCTCCAGCACATACACCCTGAACAGATAGAACGCAAATACTAAGGAGAGCAACTTCACCTTAGTTCTCTCAATATAAATATATTCATGTACTCATTGTTATGGATAAAATTAACACTACACTCTCTGTAGTAATTCAATGGTACCATAGATTAACAGCAAGTATTCTAGTCGTCAAGTTTACAGTTAGAAATTTAACAAAGCAGCTTGGGAACAAAGCGCGTCATGCGTGCTGGTTACACGGGAATTTCACGATGCGTTTTATTCTGAAAATTTCTTCTACATGTCGCCTACATTATTAATTCAGAAGAACTAAATTGAGCGAACAGGTCGCTCATCGTGGCACCAAGAGTTCGCTATCTACATTATGTCAGACCAGCAACTTTCCACTCGGCTGCGAACGTATTTCTGAGGATTGCATAGAGCACCGGCGTTCGAGGTGCTGTCGAGCGCAGTTTTGACATTTACTAGCGCATATAAATCTGCGATCATCACGAATTTTCCATTGGTTAGGACCTCGATTCGGTTCGTTTTTGATTCATTACCTACCAACATGGTTTTAGTGGCTTACTACTGAGTCCCGTCGCAACCGCCTTCATTCGGCCCACAACACTGCGATAAATATGACATTTGATTACTAGACACTGCGACGATCTCCTATGGTTCAAAATTGCAGGCACCTATGTCCAGAAATAAGCCTGCAACACCAGTTGCATTAAAGTGTTAACAATTGCGAACAAGAATAGTAATTTGTTGACCACTGCTTCCATTTGCAAACAGCTTCCAACTGCCTAAATGCGATCACATTTTGACTAAATACCAAACAACAGGCACTTACTCGGCGTAACAGGGACCAAACGTTTGCCAAGGAGTAAGTCACACTAGGCGATTCAACCATAAATGAGTAATTAAACATCCAATTTAGAGCGGCAATTGGATTGTGAAATCCAATGGACAGGAAGTAATTGCATTACATTCACGTAGTTGTCAAGCAAGATATGGCATCAAACTTTCCGGATCATCTCAGAATTCATGCATTATTTTTATGCATTTGGCATTGATTATACCGAATCGCTTTCCATGATTATAACAATTAATTTAGCGCACGTGTCACTTTGAATTGAAGGGGGCTTAAAATAACTTCCATTTCATGTACTAATTCCTAATTGTGATCTAACTCATCAACTAGCAGGGAGTTAAGAAAAAATGGACTGTTAAATACATTAATATTATTGCTACAATAGTTGTCACTCGGCTTACTGATGTTCCGTCGAATAGTTGAAGGGCAGCAATTACTGGTAACATACGAGCCGCCAAATCGATCACATCCCTATAGTGAAACAAATGGGTGGTTTTTTGACGTTTTATATTACAAAGCCGTTTGGATGATGCGTAGCTAACTGCATCTAGAAATGTAATCCAATACAAGCTTTTACTTACCTGTTGGAAGTAAATATTCTTGGTATTTGCCATCTGAGCAAGAAAATGCTCACAGCGAACAATGCGGATAAAATCCCTGTAGCAAGAAACTTGTCAGTGAAGCAACCAATGCGACTAACAGATGGTTACTAACGCAACGGACAGGACCGATCTAGGTCCAACAGTTGATCCAGCACCAAGAAACTGGCCAATACGAACACTTGTAGCAACCCCAAATCCCACCGGCATCTTTAAAAAGAAGAAAACATGTGGGCGACACAAAAGATAATGTATATGAAAGAGCACAGCTGAAGTTTTGTTTGTTAGTTACGTACAGTATGAAACATGACTAATGCGCTGAATGTTCAACTTGTTATCATCGCAAATAAAACTCCGTATTTGGTCTAGCATTTATCGGAAAGCTTCGCGTTATACAAGGAAGTTAAATCAGATTATGGACAGTTGTGTTCATCCATACTTGCTAACTACTTCCATACATCTTGTTGTATCTCTGTCGGTGTGGTCTCATTCTCGCTTCCTTTATAATCCACTCGGTGTGTGCTTCGACCGAATACGTACAGCTTCCGTGCATACGTACAACCGGCTGAAGGGATTCTGCTGTGTAAACACTGTATGTGATTTCTGTGCGTCATCGATTTTTATCATTTGTACTTCTGTTGCTTTTGAATGGTTCAATAACTGATTCTGTCTACAATACTTTAAGTTAACCTGTTTGTGGCTGCTCGTTATCTGTGCAGTATTAGTGTGACAAAAAAGGATTACTACACATCCGCCTTCGCCCTTACAGTCATAGATTGATCTTAGAAACAATCACATGACCATTGCGTTAATCTAAATAGTCTAATATTGTCCTTATTGCTGGAGGTTTTAACGCCGGAGTAGATCGTCCGCCACCAAGCGAGCACCATTTTCGGGGTACTTTTGGTCTCCATAGTAGTCGATCAGACGATGGAGACAGTGTGTTGATTCTTTATTCTGCTTGTCGACGTTTCTTCCGGGCACCAGTTTTCGACACTTGCAAAGGTAGACCGCAACCAGGCGTCTGCGTACTCAAACGCGTGGTTCCAGCTTGACCACATAGCAGAAAATTACAGATAGCGCGAAAGCGCAACAGACTGTTGATCGTACTGGTCAACTTTTGTGAACTCCGGTCACGCGCTGGTTCTGGCTAAATTTTGCTTGCGTTTCGGAGGATCGCCCAGGTGTACGCACTGCTGATCGAACTTTCAAAATCCGCAAAACCCTACGATTTAATTCAAGCTTTTGCGTTGATATCGCTTGCCTCAGCTTCTGACAACAATCTGAATACACAATGGGTGCACAACAAAGCTGTCTTAGTTGCCGCCAACACTGAGACTTGTCGAGTTAAATGTCACCTACCGACAAGCTGGTTCGCCGCTGTCTCCTTTTTGTTGCTTGAAAGATGCCGCTTGATCTTGGATGACACCAGCTGTAGTGACGAACGCCGATCACTGAATGGAGAACGGCGCAGTAGTTTGAAATGGAGTTGAAGCCTGATGGTGTGAACGTTCTCTAGAGTTGGAGCTTCTTACTAACTCTGGTGATACCACACAACTCTTCCATCTCATCCGAGTCACCGATGGTTCCCGATCTGATATAAGCAAAATAATCTGCGAAGCGGATGGCTGAATGATCAGTAATCTCCAGAGAGGCTTAAAACGATAGTCTGAACATTTTACCACACAATTTTGCTAGCTACCAGCCCCAGCTGCATTCTCTGGAACGCGCACTTGTGCTGAGTGTTCTTTTCCCACTGATCCTTCCTCACATCAAGATAAGTAACGTGAATTGTACGTATTGAATCTTCATAAATTAACCGGCCCTGCTGTTTTGCTTCCTTCCCAATTTAAAGATAGGGGCTAACCGCTAGCTTGAAGACACGCCGATTTGTGCTCAAAAGTCTGGGCGAGAAAGGATGTTTCATCATTTTGGAGTGAGTCGATATCGTCCCAGAAACGTAGTATTGCTTAAAATGTAACTCAAGCTTCGGAGACACGTTATCCCAGCAAAAAGTACACATCTGAACGGCAGCAGGTTCACAAATCAACTGAGGAGGTACAAGACTCATACACCTTGAGTTGCGAGACCGGTGCGTTGGTGAAATAATTAGCTGGCTGGGGTGAGCGGTAACCGATCCGCGCATAACTAAGGTAAACAGATCGAACTCATTTGCGCATGTGACATTCCTTCAGTGTTTGACATGTTCACACTTCTGGCACAAAACGGTCAATACGTTTATTGGTAAGCTGAGATCTGTGAAGCAGTGGAGAATCTGACGATTGTGCAAAGTCCTGTGCGTTGTTTCCGTTGTCTTCTGTGCCGAAACTGAATCACTCAAACGATAATACGCTGGGGTCCAAGCACAAAGACGCCGCAAGTGATTTGAGTGTTAACCTACTACCTGCAACCCTACAAAGCGTTTGGAGGCTTAAACCACACATATCCTATCAGAATACTCAACCAAAATCAAGACCGAACCTGAGATAACGGTGTTAAGTTTGCAAATGCAGCGTATTAAAAGAGACACGATATTAACGAATTCCAAACTCAAATGTATGTCAATAGTTCACCCTCAGCCCCACATACGATCCTTGAGTTCAGGCTTGCGAAGAAAACAATGGAATCAATTTGAGACACAAGAAGCCCATGGCTAGAATCCAACTGAGCCATTGGTAATATGCATGCGTGCGCCAATGAAACGTGCTGCAGGAAGGGTTGTTACACCTAACTTGATAATTCATAAGAGTCACATAAATCGACTAAATCAAGGGAAACAGTGCCAAGACAATGAGGCTGAACATAGGGACACTTGTGTGTCGGAGTGACAACAAGGTAAGCATTGGATGTAACGGAAAATGGACGCTACCTCACACAAAAGGGGCGTCATGATAGGTAGCGCTGCCCCAGAAAATGGGCAAGTGCACAAGTACACGGATACTTCCTGACGCGCGCTGAGGCTGACACAATGTGAGCAGGTAGTTGATAGGGGTGAGACTTGGATGACGGCAAATTCGTTCTACACTGCCGACCAAAAGCCGATCCGGTTTTTTTGTCAAGGCTATTGAAGATTTTTGCTCTGGATCGCCCTACATTGGCTCAATCCACTATGGGTGATCACACCAGTACGCCTGAGTAAACTCATTTTGGCTGGCGGACTCACAGTGGCCCTCGCATGTACGGCAGGTTCAAAGGGCAGACTTTTACCTATGGAGTGCCCACAGACGGGACTAAATCCTCAGCTATGACGCTTTCTCCAATAAGCCCAGCTTTCGCACAACGCTTGCGATTAAGCATTTATTTATTTTAACAACTGTAGTCCAGACAGGCCAGTCTTCAAAAGTTTTGTAGTGGTCAGCAATCCCATCGGCAACGTGCCCCGTGAAATTGTTTCTGAAGAGACCAAAACGATATCACCTGGTCTGAAGTTCCGACACCGAGGCAGCCAATTGTGTCTCTATTGCGATAATGGCAAATACTCTGCGACCCACTTTTCCATTACAACGCCTTCAGCTAATTGACTTGCCGCCAACAGCTACTATATTCTTAAGTTAAAGGAGCCATCAAGATATGCGATGCGTTACATCGCAGTATCAGCAAATATTTAAGGGTAAATTACATACGGCCGCGTGGGTTCGAAGTCAAAGGCACTATCTGTTTGCTGTTGACGATACGCTCCTCTTCCACGAAGAGAGTACCAACCGATTCGTCATTCGACGTCTGTTGCCTTGCGATCGATAACGGTATTCATCTAACAGACCTGATTTTGCGTTCCCAAGTTCCTTCCATATAGCTGGACATTGGTGGATTGTAATGCCAGTGTGCCCCCAGGCTAAGGAGCCTATCAATAATCCTTGCTTGACATCAGCCTTTCACAGCAGTACACAAGTAGCCGCCATTACGTGTGGCGTAGAATGCAGTCTTTCGTAGTTCAAGTGCGGTGCTGTCTGAGTAAATTCCCTGGTTTATAATGTTGGAGAAGAGAAGGCGGTTGTTCTTTAAGCGTCTCAGCTAATGAGGATCCAGTTGGAGTCTTCGACAACGATGATAATAAGTCAGGCTTGAGCAGAGTCCCATGACCAGCTTGGTAAATGATCGTTGGACATTTTAAAGAGCCGTTCTGCCTTTCTTTCTTAATTGGTTGTGAACGATAGTACAATATTCCAGAGTCGGTGATACTATGGTCTTGAATGACTCAAGTCGTGCTTCAAGTAGGAGAAAGTTCTGGTGATATATCCGTCTAACTGCCTTGCTATCGCAACCAGATAAGTTACATGTTCGGAGAAGTTGAAAGAGTTGGAGTACCTAATTCCTAAGTCCCGAACTGAATCAGACGTTGGGATCACGTTTGCGGCAAGTATGATAGAGCCTTCTGGGATGCGGCATCTTCACCCAAGTACTTGAGATTTCACTGCGGAGAACTACATCAATAAACGCACACTAGCTATATTTAGTGCTGGTAGGTCTTCACATTTATGTAGTTGGTCTGGATGAAATGAGTAAACCAGTCGGACGTCATCTGCAAACAGAAATGGGTGTCCATGTTTGATCGGGTCACATACATTGTTTACGTAGATTAAGAAAAGTAGTGGTCCTAGCACACTGCCCTATCTGTACGCTATTCACGAACTTACAAGACTGAATACTCTGACAAACGAGTACAAGCTGTAGCCAACCAAGTAGGGTATTTGCAGCAAATGGGCGTTTTCCTCCGGCATATCATCTTTCAGTGTACCAGTGGACTTCAGGAACATCGGCTCCCAGGAGTATCCTGACCCTCGTATTTCTCACATCATCGAAGTTGATGTCTACGAAATGTGGTCACCCCTTGGTTAACTGACTGACAGGCACAGTCACGGGTTGCA